GTTGGAGTTGTTGTAGTTGAAGCTGTAGTTGTTGTGGCTGGCGCTGTAGTTGGAGTAGTTGAAACTGTAGTTGTTGTTGGGGCTGTAGTTGTTGTAGTTGTCACTGCAGTTGTTCAGGTTGGATTAGAAGTCATGGTTGGTGTTGATAATGTAAAGAGACATTATGAGAAAGAGAAAAAATGTTTAGGAATCCTGAATAACAAGTTTCTTCATTACAACAGAGTGGGAAATTCATCTATTTACACAAGGTAAATTAATTCTTTCTCTGTTTTAGTATTAATCACAATCGGATGTAAGACATGTATAAAGTTTCCTAAGTTCTGCCGTCAAACCAAGTACAAATCAACTACAGGTGAGAGAGTGGAACCTGAGTCTGCTGACCAGGATTTACATTTGTGTGTGTGTTAATGATTCTCCAATGTCCTTGACAGAGAGACATTCAAGTACCAAATGTCATCTTGGAAATGAAATAAACCCAATGAATTGTTTTTTTTAATCCCATTAAATCAAGTAATTAATTAAACTCTGAAAACCCTTTACCAAGTTTTAACTTTTGGATGGTTTGGTCCAACAGCCGTATATCCATTATTCTTATGGTTAGTCTTGATAAATCATATTTTTCACGTTATAACATGTTGCAATGAAAAACACAATTTCTTTTTGTGCAATCATTGTTGTCTTATCTTGCTTGCAGCAATTGGAAATTATGTTTGTTTAATCAGACAACATTACATTACATGCCAACTAGTACATTCAACATCTATGTGGGGGTTAGGGTTAGCATCTTGTCAAGGGACACCTGGGATTCGAGCCGCCAACTATCTGGTTAGAGGACGACCACATTACCCCTCATTCACGTAGGTTTCGGAGCGAGACACCAATAACAGGCAAAAACATATAGTATTATTTTTCAGAATTTTAAATGGATAACCCACACAAATCACTAACCACCACTGAGCTGCTCTTGAAGTATTCTACTGTTTACTCTCCTAAAGTACGTATCCTAAAATGCAGACAAAAATCACTTGCAATGAATTCTGACCTTGTGCGCAGGATGCATGAAAATATCCAAGCAAAAATATACAATAGAGTATTGTTCTTTCCATGATGAGTGGTGTTACTCCTCACTACTCCAACAACAGAGTGGTAGTTTTTCTTTGTTTTACATTGAGCCTTAGTTGAGCTTTGCTCCTCCTTCAGCTACAGAGAGAGGGACAAGGTAGCAGTAATAGATGCGTCTGTCATATAACCTGAAAAACCAGGTCAGCATCAATTAGTGAGTGTTAAAGGACAGTTTGAGTTTGATTTTAACACAGATGAAAAGGAAGCTAAAGCAGAACTGGAACACACAAGACACCATGATGTCAAACATAACCCTTACAAAAATATTGATTTCATCCTGTATCTATTATTAGTGTTGTCCGTCCCCAGGGGCTTTTCAAATTGCATGATGGAGTTATTATGATATCAATTATGATGGAAACCCCATCTTCATCATGACAGGTTTTTCCATGCTAATAGTCGTAGGGTTGTGGCTTTTGATGAATCAGGATGCTGTCATCAAGGTTGTCAGACAGATTCTCAAATTATACAGTATATAACTCTAACTCCACTCTCAGAGTTCGAGCCCATACAACATCATTTTTCTGCTACACCACAACAAAGAAAAGAAATGCTCAATATTGCAAGACAGTGGGGGCAATTTGGACACATGGGGTGTTAAATCACAGACATGTTTGAAATCCCTAAAATGTTTTCTAACAACACCAGAAGAGAGAATGTGGATATTCTGCACGGAGGAGCCATGCAACACCACACACTGATGTTACTGTGGTGCTGAACATTGGTGCCAAACAAGGGACACTTGTATTTGCCAAAGAAAAAAACAAACTCTTAATTGTAATGCCAAGCTCGTTGAAAAAAAACATTATGATAAGATGTTGTCAGACAATAG